AAAAAAAACTGCCATTTAGAAAAATTGAGCGTAACAGCTATTCTCTATGAGAATTTAATGCTTTGCTTCATTTCTCAAATTTCCGATGACTAGACAACAAATCTGCCATCAGAACTTACTTGTTGAAAAGCGTCAGAAAAGCTGTGAAGCTCTGCCGAAGAAGAGCAATTTTGAAGAACACCACTCACAACTACTGAGATCAAGATCAACGGAAGAAATTCAAGGGAAGGACGTGCCGGAAACAATATTGCACCACAAATATGTGGCAAAGTTTTCTTGGAAGTGAAATAACTGAGAGTATGATTCGAGAAGAGAGCATTACTTGCGACAAAAATGCGCATAATGAAACATCACCACAGTAGTTCATTAATTGTTTAGCGAGAAGGATACGCATTAAAGGGAACAAAGAACAACATAAAATAAATGGAGATAGTTCTTGTAGATACAACTCATCCCAATCCACAAAAAACAATTGCTATGCTTCAAAGATTTATTCCAGACTAAACTACGAAAAAAAGCGATGCACTCACAAGAAAATAGATATTCATTTTAATATGTAAAATTCAATAATCCAGGAAATTCGCTCATGAAAATCGGACCTCTCTTTTAGATGACCGACCACAACGAAGATAGGCTCACAGTCAACTTCCATCATGATTGCGTGCAACATAAACATGTAGGAGACGGTACAACCAGAGAAAACAATAGCATCTTTACCAGTAAAAGCAATACAAGTGTGTCCCATAGAAAGCGCACAAGAACGGAAAATGCTAGAGGCAAAGTTTTCTGCTACAATGATCCGTGTAGCTGAAATGCGGCTTTGATTTTGGAGCGCGAAAACATCGCGCTCCCAAAAAACGGATATACCCGTTCTTTTGTCGCAAACGCGGCACGGATTACTGTAATAGAAAACTATGCCATAAATGTAATTTCCTTTCTTGTGAGGGTGTAGCATGTCGCAGCGGAACATGGATAAGGAAAAATTTATGTCTACACTCGTAACTATTAAGCTTTTCAAAATTTGATAAGGTTAGCGAATATATTGCTCAGTCGATGATTTATTGAAATTTGTAGGAATTACCTGTTTCGTTCTGATTTCCACTAAATTACACAATTCTCTCTCAAAAACTAGTCAACAAAGGCTGATACTGGAAATCAGCCAGATTGACAGATGCATGAAATTCGTATTTTGTCATGAATATGTATCAGCATTATGAATGCAAATATGTAGTTTAAGTGGTTTAAATTAGTCTTTTAGAAACAAGCAAATTATTTGTCCAACAGGTCAACTTTAGCACTTTAAAGACTATAATATAAAATTTTGAATACCGAACGCAAGGAAGATATTAGACGTTGAACTCAAAAAGCCTTAATCATAACCCAAGATCACTCACTATAAAGATGCTCATGCCAGCGTACGTTCACTTGTGTGGCAGGCGGTTTACACAAGACCACAATTTCGGGGTATAGGGTGATCCTAGTACGTTAAAAAACAGAAAATCATCCAACAGACTACAACGATGAGTTTGAAGGAGCAAGTTCTTCAAAATTCCAATATCAAAAGATAGAAAAGTGGATTGACGTTGAATCAGAAGTATTGTTAGAAAATCTTAATTCATTCCAATTGAGGGTTTGCGAGTTAAACATCACATAGTTTCAATTTAGTAATTAGAACTTCTGTATGACCAACTCGATCTTCGATTGTGACTAGATGAAGAAAAGGTTCTTGAAGATTTTCTCGAATTTTGGTTGCGGCTATTACTTCTATGTCTCCAATCTTCAGATTTACTTTCTGACGAGGAAACCATACTTCTTTCCTTGCTGTCATCCTCACGTTGTCGAAATATGGATTTGGCACTGTCAGAAGAGTGTGAACGCCTCCTCCTGCTTTTGTACTCATCCTCCTTTTTCTCTTGCGATATTTCTGAGTCGGAAGAAGAACGCCTGCGACGATACTCCTTATCCCTCCCTCTTGTCTTCGATGTGTATGAGGATCTACTACTTCCCTTCCCTCGATCATCTTCTCTGTCAATTCTTCGATTATATCCACTTGGTAGATCCTTCTCTAGCTCTTGTTTCATGTCCAGTATGAACTCGTACAACCTTAAATGCAACAATGCGGAGGCATTCTAAACCAGATTTTCAATATCAATCTCATACCAAACACTCATTACCTTTCCCGCTTTTTCGAGTTCTTCTCATGTTTCATCTTTCGGCGAAACTTTTTGAAAAGTGATCTCCAAGATAACTTCTTTTTTCTCTTCGGAGCTTCTTCGCTGCAAAACAACTAATTCAGCAAAATTAAAGGCGGAGCGTGAATGGATTTGGACAATCGACATGATATGCTAAGCATGCGCTAGAGGACGAGTTCGGTAGTAAATCTAACTAGGACCAACACAAAAGAAAATAATTTACCTAACGTTCGAGTTACTTTCGCGATTTATCGCCGCATTCTTCGAAACGGATACTGGTGGTGGAGTGACGACAACCACATCCTAGATAGAATTTGCATTTGCAGAAGCTAACGTCAGAGAGTTAGTTTATCAAGATCGACAGAAGTGTTTACTGTTGATAGTCATCATACATGTCATCATATGTCAGCAGACCTGCGACGCGTTCAAATATGGGGTTAGAATTTGAAAAAAAAAACATTGCAGACTAAATTTGTGCAATGGAAAAGGTTGACTTTTAAGCGGAGTTATTTAGACTCAAGATTTTAGCTTCTATTCTTTTACTTTGACAGCCGCTCAAGAATACATTTCCTAAGAAATCTTATCAATATATAGACCGTTGGGGAAGCTTGCATGACCTGTTGCGAGTCGATAAGTCGAATAATTGACGTTCCTAGCCTTTGTGACTAGCACCTATACTTCGGTGATTAAAACTTTACTAGCCCAGTAAAAAACTTTGTTGACTCTCTTCCTTCAACAAAACTAGCTACCAATAATTAGTTGAACTCGAAGTAAATAATTTAGCCTCATGCAACGAAAATGCTTGTGCGGCATGATATGCGCAGCACACGAATGCATTCTCAGCTATTTCAAGCACTAATCACTCAATTACTCATCGCTTTATTGGCCTTTGGATTGATATCAGAAAGTTTCCGTGCTTCGATTAAAGGCAGCATTAACAACTTAGTTAAGCAAGCACCTGCTCCCAAACAATTAAAGCAAAAGATCTGTCTTGAAAGACTGTCAACCGCACACTCTTGAGTTCGATCAATTTCATTTGACATTTGGAGCAATTTGAGTCTCTTGAGTATCGTTAACAGATAAAACATATTAAAATTTAAATAAACGTGCCTTTAGGTTTGAATGATGTATGCTCTAGGTGAGGTTTGAATGAATATGCACCATGTAGAAATCACATTCATCAAAGAACCAGTAACAAAAAACAACAACACAAAAAACATACAGTACATGTAGATACAGTCTATGGAAAGAGACATCTAAGAAAACCAGACCAAGTTACTAGTGATATAATAACTACCATACAAAAAAATAGCTCATAAAAAAAAGACATTTATAAACCATTAAAATGAAAGCTCCCTAACAACAAGAGTGTTAAATATCGATGGTCAAAACTCAGTCCTTGAAGAAATGATGAATGAACTTAAATGCGGCGGTTGACAGACTGATTCCCTAATCTCCCCTATATAACTACGATTAATATCATACCGCAGAAACACACACACGCACACAAAAACTCTATAGCAAAACTCGGCAGTAGGAATTTTCTCAATCAATGAACAAGTTATTCAAAGGATCAGAAACATACCGAACTGCTTGATGCTGCAGCATCCGGATCATTAGCACTGGCACCTGAGTGCACTACGCCTCCGCTCTGTCTCGCCTCCGTAGATTCTGAAAACAAAGACTGTGATAGAATGAAAAGAAACAAGCGTAACCTGCGCTATAATCGTCATACAACCAATCCACGGTTACTGCAAAAGTGGTAAACGTTCACCTGAATCAAAGTGAATGGTGCCTTCTTTGACAGATGTATCCATTGGACATTCGGAAACACTTTGAGCGCTCTGACTACCTCCTTGGCTACGACGAAGTTGTCGTTCGCGGAACAAATTTGCTAGCAATTTATTCTCTTCTGGAAATGAATATTAAAGTATTATTTGAAAATTCACTGGTACTAAGATTTGCATAGGCGCACCGCTTATCTTAATTTCTTCTTCAGGGACGTACATCTTCCCGGGGCTGGGATGGAACAACGATTTCTGTAACAACGACGCAGTGTTTTGTTTCTTCAACGGGAAAAAAATCCACATATCTATTTGGACCAGCACAATTAACCAAACGCATTTTTTTTTT